AGCAATGATCCCACAGTGACACAGAGCAATGGGGAAGTGATACAAAAACCTCCCTCCATCACAGGGGCCATTTCGGTGTCTGTGCTGTCCCCGTTTTATGGTGGGGCATGTGCGTAGCATGGCCCTGCCCTTGCTGCCCTGTGCTGCACATGACTGTGCCTGGTGTCCCAGCTCGACCATCACTTAGAGCCCCAGATCTGTGCCTGTCCCCTGTCATTTGGGAAGGGGATGAGTGCCAGCAGCCCTGTCCCTGACCCACACTGTGGGTCCAAAGTCCCCTGCAATCCCTGGCTGGCACCCAGGGCCCCGCCAGGTGCCTCCCTGCCCTCCTCCCATCCCAGCTTCTGCAGGAGCCCCCGGGCGCTGGGCTCCTCCTCCTCCCAGCCAGTGCTGATTTTAGCCCACAAAGTCAGCAGTTTCTGGAGTTAGATGTTTGCACAAGCCATGCCAGGGCAGTTTCAGGATGGTTTGTGCTGCAAGGGTGCTCGGCACATCCTGCCCTTTCCCTTTTCATTTGCTTCCAGGCATGATTGGGCAAGCCACATGGCAAGAGCAGAGTTCCTGGCATAGTCTCCACTGCTCAGCCCCGACAGCTGGGACACAGCAGTCGTGCATAGTCTCCCCAGTACCCTTCCAGGACCAGCACCCCCTCACCTGCCCCCACTCCCGCTGAGGCCACGTGCCAGGAAGGTGCTGAAGGGCCAACACCCCTGGTATGTCCAGCGCAGCATCAGTTCTCCTCCTTGCCTCCCTCCAAGGAGAAGAGATGGACTTTTGAGCTGAACATTGTTCCCCTTTACTATCCTTCCCTAAAATGGAACTGAAACCCCATCAAAGTCTCAGAAATGCTCAGAAACTGGTCATCCACAATAGATGGTATCAGCTTCAGCTAAATGCTTTGCATAGACAATTTCAGTGATTGTTTTGGTTAGTTTCAGCCTTTGCACCAATGCATAAGCCTAGCCAGAGGCAAACCAAACCTCTGAAACAGAAAGTGCCTTGAAGCACAAAATCTTCGAAGCATCATTTATTTTCTAGTGACTCAGGAGATTCACTGACTCTGCATCTTTCTATAACCACTTGCACAAATTGCTGTATTTGAATATTTTCAAGTTCAATTTAAGTTGGTGCTATTGAAATTCAGGGCTCCAAGAGCTTGTTTCTCCGAGCCGAGCACCCTGTGCCCTGTGAGATTGGCACAACACCGGAAAAACACTTTACAAAGCAGCAGCCAAGCCTTCCCTGGGGAATTTGAAGTTAATTGGTCTTAGCTGAAAACCATCCTGGCTCACCCCTGCCTTGGCTATTGCAGCTGCATGTAGGCATCCACATCCCTTGCATGCTTTTCTCTGCTAGTCCCAGCTCTTCCTCTTTACCAACAGCCTCTGATGCCTCCTCTCCAACCCTCTTTGCGTGCCCTGGCCCTTGGCAGATGCTCCCAGGAACCCTCACCCCAGGGCTGCTGCTCCAAGGGGCTGTGAAGGCAAGGGGCTAATAGGGTGCTACCAGAAGCAGCAGCCTGGGGGATGCAGAATGGGCAGCGGCAGCTCTGTGGGAAGGTGAGTTCTTGGGAGGGTAGGGGATACTGCTGGCAGGGTGCTTGGAGCAAACCTGCAGGTCTCTGCGATCTCCCTGTCTCCTGCACAAGGAAAATATGTCTGCCATGCCCTTCTGTCCATGCTGCTCCTCCCTGCTGCTCTGGAGCTGGCTTAGCTGGTGGAGAAGCACCATCCTCTGCCCCCCGATGCCTTGGGAAGCAGCCAGCACCTCAGCAGAACCGTGTGAGATGGGTTTAAGTGCTCCGCTTGGCACCAAAGGCTGCTCCAGCACTGTCCAGCTCAGCTCCCAAAAGCAGGAGGGTGCCCAGGGCAGGACTGGTAGTACACAGGCTGCCTGCCCTCCACTGCCTGTGCTCACCCTGGCAGTAACACGTTCCCCCTCAGCGCATGCATGCACTAGGACCTGCTGCTCTCACTCACCCTTTACTTCGTGCTTCTCGCACCCCACTTGGCCCCCTGGCTTGCCCATAGCCCAGGCCATGCTGCCCACTCAGGGCTGCCCATGCTTGGTGCATCTCCGGCATCTCTGCATGGCCCAGCCCAGGGAGGAGTGCTGCAGAGGAGTGCTGTGGTGCTCAAATGGGATGAAGCTGGACCTGGTGAGCTGCCAACCCATCCCCAGAGACAGGGTGGGACTGATTGTAAGGCCGCCAAAGGCAGACTGGCCCAAACTGAGGGGGGACCTTCATTAAAACTTGTGACCTAGTGAGCGTTTTATATGGGGGATATTTGGAGGGGCATTGACATGTGACTTCAGCCAAGACCTTGGCCAACGGTGGTACAGCTGCTGGATATCCCTTGGGAGAGATGGGTAGGGGGGAAGATACATAAATACCATCCCTACTCCATCATCCCCAGCAAGTGGCATGGGTTGGGCTTGCTAGCAGAGGACAGGATTGTCTCTTCATGCCTCAATGGCACTCAGGAGGATGGCTGCCTCTTCAGCCTCCAAAAAGCAGCATAGCTGAGTCTTGGCTACAGCTGCACACGTGTGTGGCACAGGGCCAAGACGTGGGATGCTGATGATGGGGAATCCTGCAGACACACATGCTGGGTGTCCTCCAGAGAGCTGGGGCCTCTTACCTCCAGGGCAGCCTTTTTAGATTGCTAGGCTGAATATTAAAAAAAATAAGCTGACCGCAGACATCTTGAGCTATTAGCTCCTTTGCTGGTGGTGGGAGCTGCACTGAAAGATTCCAACAAGGACCAAAACCCCTGCGGGTACAGCCAACAACCAGTACATGGCCAGCAGCTACCTGACAATGAGTGCCACCGACTGGAAGAGCCATGAGACCTACACCTGCAAGGTCACACATGAGACTGGTACCATTGAGAAGGTCCTGAATAGATCTGATTGCTCCTAACCTCACTGGGCAACAGACAGCCCTGGCCCTGGTACATCATATCCCTGGGCACAGTGCTTCACCACCTGCCCCATCCCTGTCCCCTCCTTCTGTGCAAGTCTCTGCCGTCTCTGTGGGCCCTTCCCTCTCCCCGTGCCTGAATCCCTCCTATCTCCCCTGCCCTGTCCTCTCATCCTGGGCATCATCCAAATAAACCTTGAGCCAGTGCTGGCACTGCATCCACATCTCCCAGTCCTTTCTCCTTGGTCAAATATGTTCATGACCCTGCAACAAAACACGGCCCCAGCTGGCTAGGAGCTTAACTGCTCACTCCCACGTCTTGAGCTTGATGGGTTGGTGCATTTTCCCCTGCAATGGCCTGTGGCTGGTCCTTGGGTGTCCCCAGCTGGCTGCTGCCTTCCCTCCACAGGTTTCTGCCCCACGTTCTGTTGCACCTGGAGAACAGAGCAGCAGCCACCTCAGGTGCTGGGGCTGCACCAGCCCTGAGTTTGGTCCTTGGGCACTGGCTTGATCTCCTGCAGCAAAGGCAGGGGCTAAATTAAGTCAGAGAAAGCAGCCAGCCAGGGCTCCTCCACTGCAGCACCCAGTGCTGGCAGATGCCCCTAGTCCTCCCCTCCGCCTGCAGACCAGACCCCCCAATCCAGGCAGGGCACTGAGCATTAAAACCTGTGATGAGCTCTGTTAGGGCAGAAATAAAAAAACCCTGAATTTGGCCTTCAGTCATCACCTACTAATGCAGCAATAGGCGCCTTCAGCAAGCATCCCCGGGTGTGAACCTCTGTGATGGCTGGCAGGCTTCGTTGGCTCAGGGGGACTCTGAACTCCCCCACACCAGAGCCAACCCTGCACCAGTGCCTTTGCCAGCGCCAAGATGCCAGGTGTGACGGAGGGAAGTGCTTATTTACCCTCAGTGGGACGGTCCAGCGCCCCATGCCCAGCCCTGAGCGCAGGGCTGAGCCCTGGTACAGTGGCAGGGGGGGGGGGGGGGGCGGGCGGGGGGCCGGCC